TTCCAGGAAATCAATCTAATATTCCTTTGAATGAGTTTCATTTAGGAACTACTCAGTTCACTTGAACTATCTTTTAAGCGCTTCAGCTGGATTTCAGTGCATCTTCTGAATAATAGTATAGGTTTAGGTTCAATTTGAGAAAGAATCTGACCTGAACTGGAGTTCAGTTAAAATTGAGGTTGGACACTTTAAATGATTCTAAAACATTTGTCGTTGGCGTTGGTTTTGTTCCTTGCTTGCATACATCTTTTCCCTGGAGACAGACAAATTGTCAATGAAATAGGTTGTCCGATCCAGGGTGGATGAACAGGAAATATCCAGGAAAAGAAATTCACTGAAACTTTGAAGTTGAATTCAGCATCCCTGATGTTAGCATGAGTGCTTGTTCCTATTTTGGTTATAGACATCAGAGAGATCTAGCAAATAGGAAGGTGGTAGGCATAGGAGCATAAATGGTAGATACTCTCTTTGAATTAGGACCTTTACTAGAAGGAAGTCACTATCTCAAGGCCACAATGTCTGCACTGTTTATCTCTAGAGTCCTAGCTCTGATCTGTTGAAGGACATTCCCTGTCTGTGGCTACAGTCATGAAGGGTACAGCTTACCTAAAATTCGATATGAAAGGATTTTCCCTGTACAAGTAGTCAAAGATAACTTCATAAAGATAATAATTGCAATCTGTTTTGTGCCCAGTTGTTATTTTGATAATTTGGGGAGAATGATGTCAGAGATTATCACCTTTTCATATTGTTAAGGGTAGCATTAAGTGGAGTTGATGTACATATGGGTAGTAAACACCATACTATTTGTCAGGTTAAATTACTTTGAAGGGGAGAAATGTGAGGTAGAGTGCATTCATACTGGTCATACCAACTTAAAGACACTCTTTTTTTTTCATGTTAAAGTTTATAGTCTGTTACACTACCTGAGATTACCAAAGGTGTAACTCTTGTAGAAGTCAGTCCAGGTCATGGTCACTATTTTCTCTTGTTTAAAAGTGCTGCACATTTCACATACGTTAAATAATATATAAGTAATAAAGTTCGGTGTATTTTTTTAATGTTGTGTTGTAAATGGATATGGCATTATACATAATAAGCCTATTAGTAAGTGCCTTAGCATGTAGGTGTTTAATTTATTAAACAGTTCCGTAGATTTTTCAGCTGCTGAACTTCACAGATACTCTGATAGCCCATCTGTGAGCTGTTTCAGTTCATCTCTTTGGCCTAAGAATAATACTTACTGTTTTTGTTAGACCAAGTCTTTCACTGCATGAGAGAGATGCAAATGACTAGATAAATGTCTAGAACACAGATTTCTAGCTGTGGTAATAATTTTAGAAAGATGTTATTTAGGATCAAAAATTTTTGTTTTAGTTTGTCTTTTTTGTTTAGTTTTAGTGTTAATGCTGTCTTTTCTTGTTAACAGGTTAAACAGCAGTGACATTGATGGAGAGCCTATGTATATTCAGATGGTAACGGCACTAGTTCTGCAGCTTATTCAGTGTGTGGTGCATTTGCCATCAACAGAAAAAGATTCTAATTCAGAGGAGGAACCAAACAAAAAAGTAAGATTTTTTTGAAGAACCATAATTATTTTTCTTTGTGCAGGAATGACTTTGTAGGTGTAATATTTTATGATGGTACTCTGGTAATTAAGCATTGTAATTTTATGTCTGCTGTAATTATTTGATGAATGAGAAATGATGATCTGGAAATCATATTTCTTTGTATGCTAAAATATTAGACAAATAAATCTTGTTATTTTTAGGTGGATCAAGATGTGCTTATTACTAACTCGTATGAAACAGCCATGAGAACAGCACAAAACTTCCTTTCTATTTTCCTTAAAAAGTAAGTATTGTTGCATTCTTTAGTGTATTGATGAAACCAACTCCAAATAAAATCTGTCACACCTTAAGACAAACCAAACCACTTCACAATGCTAAATGCCTACTAATAAAGCTACTTATAACAATATATTTTATAGATCTCTAAGAGAGCTACCTGTCTGGAAAAAAAATTTTATGGAACAGAAATTCTGCAGAGAGTTCTTCACACATTTAAGAATCTGTCTGCTAGTTTATGTAGGATCCTTTTAACAGGGGTCTGTTACTCATCTGAAGCATGGAAGAGAAGGCTGAGTAAATATTTAAGTGATGAAACTAGATTCTTTCAGTCGTCAGAATGACAAAGATATTTGTTATATATATAACCTAAAATTACTTTCATTTAGATAAAGTTAGGAATGTCAATAATTAGGAATGT